CCTAGTGACCAAACCCACACAGATATGCAAATACATGCATAATATTTACTAGAAATCTATTTATATAAAAATTAATGATAAAATAAAATGGTTGGGCGTATACTTCGGTATCATGGTAATCCTTGTGATAAAAGTTCTGAACGGCCTTGACCTTGAACGTCAGTAAAGCCGACGAGATTAGGAAAGATTAGTACCGCTGGATTAGACACGCGGAAAAATCATGTACTTACGCAAGGCCGAGTAACGATTCAGGATTGCAAGGAATGCGCACGTGATGTATACATTCTTGCCGAGGTCGAGGTCAGGTCAGGATGCACCGAAGAAACATGAGCATTCAAACCACGTGATTCAATATATCCATTCTTAACCACAGTAACGCGGTTATTATGAACGACGGCGTCAAATCATTGTTATTAATCATCAACTTGATTAAACCGATATCTGTCACACTATGACATATACAAAAGTGAAATTTGCTACAGTATGAAATGAACCAACACGTTGGTATTGACCAATCAGAGGGGTATTTTCTATTCACTTCGCACTGGTGTAAAATATCGGTAAATTGCTTTACTGCTGAAGTTAACATGGCATTCAACGGGAAGTAATTAAATATCTTCTATATCGTTTGAAACAAAGTCGAGTTCTACGTTTTGCTTGTTAGCGTCACGAACGGATGCAACAGATCGGCCAATATTTCCTACTAGGAGTGGAAATTCGCCTAAAGCGCTCAGATGCGGGAGTTTGTGGCTGTGAACAAAATTGTTTAAACAGAGCTTAAACGACTTTTCTGATAATTGGAAGGGTCATTATTCAATTGACAGTTGTTACCAAATTAACACATAAACATCGTGTTTTATTTATATATTTTTCGAAGCCGGCAGCCCCTTTTGTTGAATAATGTTTCTAAGTTCAATCAGATCTCGGTAAACCTTGCCTGACTTGCTTCTTGCACTTTGTTATGACAGTTTCACTGGTTTTCTCGTTGCCCGCATATTTGATAGGTTATGGAGTCCCCTTTTGCCATAATACGAGCCCCTCCTTCACCAACGCAACGTCTCGTACACCTATAAAAACAAACCTTACAATGTTAAAAACACTTTTGAATGAACCCGGGTGGCGATCGCCTTCTGTTTCTAGGTAAGATGTTTTGTTGTATTTTGTTGTAACTTTAATATTTACTAGAAATTCGAGAAAGGACGCACCTTTTACAAATTCAGTAAACAACACAGAAAATGAAATTAGCTACACCATTAGCCATTTCGTCCATTTAAGTCCGTATTTCTAAAACATTTCTTCCGGTTGGTAAGTATGGATTGTGAAAAAAATCATGTAGCACAACCAAAAGGTGTTTCTATGTGACGTTTCGATGACTATTACGGTATGTACTCTGTCACCTTCACCAGACAAATGGCCACTGAAGCGTATGCACACAAAGGTGTAAAATATGAACGAGTTGTCCACGCAAATCGATGTCGATTCGGCCACGCTGTAAACTTACGTACAATTAGTTGTTACATATGTACCGAAATGTCTTCATTCATTAAGCCAACTACGGAGACTGATGATCTCACACCGGAGTTAATCACCATGTGACGGAAAATGTACTACGATGAAGAAAACCCCTATTGATTTTCAGCATCATATGACCATTTATTTTTTAAAGTACTCATCAGGAAAACAATAACTTATTTGAAAATAAAGAATTAAGGTGTTGACTGGAGCCACATGAGGTTCAAGAAACGATTTACTTTCCAAGCTCCCGATATCGCCTCAATTATTGGGTGGGTGTCCCAATGCTTATTCTTTTCTAACGCGTTGATATTTTCTCGGTTGCTGTTGTCTTTTCGCGTGGTAGTTCAGTTTCTGTTTGGTACTGTAGGTTGATCTTGTAATACATATATAAGTTTCCAAATGTAAGTCAATATTTTTTACTAAATTGAGGCACGGTAGTCTAGTGCTAAGACGCTGGGCTCGTGACCGAAGGGTTGTGCGGGTTCGAGTCAAGTCACGGCACTGTGTTGTATCTTTAAACAAGATATTTTACCCCGCTTGTTCCAGTCTACTTAGCTGTTAGTGAGTACGTGGTTGAGCAATGCTAGAAATGTTAAATGATAGCTTTGAGCGCCGAAATGGCAGCATCGGCTGTATGCTGAGAAAGAACCACGGATAATAATTTGTGAACCGCTTTGAGACAACCTACAAACTAGGTTGTGATAAAGCGGTATATAAGAACAACAAATGGCCGTATGATGTAAACGGCATAGCAGACAGCGGGCGTTCACTTCCACTGGCGCGCGAGGGACACACGTTTGTGTATCGGTGCGCTCGAAAACTCGTCTGCTCCAACAGATAAAGAATTGTGTGAAATTGTGTGGGCAGCCGTGTCCGGACCTACATTGGTAACGGAACATGCATGTTATTTATAAGCATAAACTGGTGCTTTTACTCTGCATATCTACATTTAAAAAAAATCGCGTTAATTTAAGAATCGCCGGGACCCTGCCAAAAACTGTCATTATGCATTGCATACTGATCTCTTGTATGACTATAGCCTTGAAAAATAATTTCTGATACGACAAAGATGAAATAACGAAAATATTTAACAACATTGTTCAGGGTGTTAAGTTCAGCGAGGCTAGACCAGGATTCGAACCCTGAATCCCAAGTTCTTATCTCTTTAACAAACAGAGCTACCTTGTCAACGGAAGTGCACTTTGCCCCAATTGTGATACAGTAATATCCAAAACGACATTAAGGGAGGTTACTTTATTTTTTTTTACAGTGGAACTCTCTAGTGTTTTGCCTGCAATGGGTCAGGGATCCTTAAGGGGGCCGCGGTGACTAAGTGGTTAAAGGGTCTGACATTCTGCTACCACTAAGCCTTCACCATTGGGTCGCGGGTTCGAGGCCTACTTAGGGCGGTCGCCAGGAACTGACCGTAGGTCGGTATTTTTTCTTCGGGAACACCGGCCTGCCTCCACCACCAAAGTCTTGCACGTCCTTAAATGACCAAAGCTGTTCATAGGACGTAAAACACAAACAAACCAAATTCTTAAGACAAACGTGTAACACTGTATCTCCTTCACCGGTATATTGATATTCACTGTTGTCGTAAACTGCACCACTGTATAATAAGGACATCAGAGATGAAATATTATAGTAAACAAGAAGTTTTTGGTTGTGCATATAGTATTATGTAATATTATGTAATATGTAATATTGGTTTTCACGAGACATTAGTATTCATGAACATTTTTCATAGAAGTACTTTACAGATTAGAAGAATGGTATGGAACAACTTATCAGATAAAGCGGTTAACGCCGAAAGTTTTAAGTGTTTTAAGAATAGGCTAAACTTGCACTGGAAAAGTTATGTACACAAGTTTTATCCGTCCTGTTAATTAACTTAAACAATATACAGATATATATATATACTAATGTGGCTGTTAGAGTCGACACGTCATGATACTATATTATGTTAGATGCCATTGTTTGCACACTCTACCATAAATCAATTAACGAAATGTTGATAAACAACATCGTTACAAGCCTTGGGGTTTCCATTGGTGTCTGACTTAGGAGATGAGATAAAGCCATTCTACCTGAGAATATGTTGAAACATCTAAACTATTGCAGCGTTAGGATACTTATTGTTTCCACAACAATGGTTATATGTATAATAACAGTCAACCAAAATAAATCTGCGAGAGATAGTTTTGTTTCACACTCTTTGGAATCAGGAAAAGAAGGCAAATCACTTTCGACTAATACTGACTTAAAAGCATAGCAAGACCAGTTGCAGTTCAGTATAAATTTGCAAAAATATTAATTGGAATGATTAATGAAAATTTTGAAGTATTTAAAGATACGTATTACCATTTTGGCAGTATCACAAGTGTACAAGATATTTGACCCGATGCTGCCATGGTGTTTCTCACTTACCACCAGTGATTGCTAGAAGGATGAAACAGCTGTGGGAGGCAGTGTAATTAATTATTGGCATATTGTATATATTACAAAAAATGTAAAGGTGTGTTTATGTGTTAAGTTAATTCATCAATAGGATTCATTCAAGTCTCAATTTAGTCACCGGTTTTGACTAAGTAGACCTTTTTTTCGTAAAGCATTGGTCACGAAGAATGTATCGCAATGTTAAGCTTCGTGTATAAATGTTCGTTAAGTGTGTTGGTTTAGTTGATAAGTACTGTTTCTACAGACTGCAGTAAGTAATTGGTTTATTGGATTTATCAAAACGTTTCAAAGTTTCATTAAATATATTTGTTAGACATTTGAATCGATTTTCACCGTGGACGTAAGAAAACAAGGCTCGAAGTTCTTTCTTTCGTTACGTAATCGCTTTAAGTTTGTACCCGGCTGACATAGACCTTGTGTGTATGGATCTTTAAGTGCCTGGACGGTTTAAGTGCAGCATCTTTTCGTTCTTAAAGCTTTATATTTCCTTATATATCACCATCGTAGTTGCACAGATTACATAAGAAATCGATTTTATTACCTCTTGGTTCTAATTATAAATGATCGATCACCAATACCTTGGTAATTTAGCCTACCAGGGAAGCGTATTGCAGGCTGTTTGTGATGGGATGTTACTGAAGAAATGTATACCAGCTTATCAGATTGTCGACTTCCATATGATATCACCTGGTGGCAAGAATTGGGGGTCATAATGATGAAATGTTACTCTATCACATTTCACAATAAAACATCAGTATGTCACATTGCCGGCTTTTTATGATTTTTTTTATAAAACACATTTGAATGCACTCATCATGACCACCATTCCGACCGCAGTAAGGCACGTATAATATACCTTGTAAAGTAGGTCAGCTGTGGTTTGTGTTACCGCTTTAACCTTATTTCTCAGGACTTTTAAACCGCAAAAGGTCGGCTCCGTTTTAAGTAACTGTTTTGTCCCATATCAAATGTCAGCAAAGAAGTGTTTATTGACTATAAATAACAGTACACAACCCAAGTGCTACTTATATACATAACAGATTAACTTGATTTATCGTTGTCGCTATTGTGGCTGTTGCTATTGTGGCTGTTGCTATTGTTGTTGCTGCTATTGTGGCTGTTGCTATTGTTGTTGCTGCTATTGCTGTTGCTGCTATTGTGGCTGTTGCTATTGTTGTTGCTGCTATTGTGGCTGTTGCTATTGTTGTTGCTGCTATTGTTGTTGCTGCTATTGTTGTTGCTGCTATTGCTGTTACTATTGTTGTTGTAACTAATGTGGCTGTTGCTATTGTTGTGTTATTATTGTTGTTGCTGTCATTGTTATTGTTGTTACTATAATTGTTGCTGCTATTGTTGTTGTTGCTACTAATGTCGTTGTTGCTATTGCTATAGTTGTCATTGTTGTTGTTGTTACTATCGTTGCTATTGCTATTGCTGTTGTTGCTGCTATTATTGTTGTTGCTATAATTGTTGCTGCTATTATTGTTGTTGCTACTAATGTCGTTGTTGCTATTTCTGTAGTTGCCATTGTTGTTGTTGTTACTATCGTTGCTATTGCTATTGTTGTTGTTGCTGCTATTATTGTTGTTACTATAATTGTTGCTGCTATTATTGTTGTTGCTTCTAATGTCGTTGTTGCTATTTCTGTAGTTGCCATTGTTGTTGTTACTATCGTTGCTATTGCTATTGTTGTTGTTGCTACTATTATTGTTGTTACTATAATTGTTGCTGCTATTGTCGTTGTTGCTATTTCTGTAGTTGTCATTGTTGTTGTTGTTACTATCGTTGCTATTGCTATTGTTGTTGTTGCTGCTATTGTCGTTGTTGCTATTGCTATAGTTGTCGTTGTTGTTGTTGTTACTATTGTTGCTATTGCTCCTGCTATTGTTGCTGCTATTATTGTTGTTGTTGCTGCTATTATTGTTGTTACTATAATTGTTGCTGCTATTGTTGTTGTTGCTGCTATTGTCGTTGTTGCTATTGCTATAGTTGTCATTGTTGTTGTTGTTACTATTGTTGCTATTGCTATTGCTGTTGTTGCTGCTATTATTGTTGTTGTTGCTGCTATTATTGTTGTTACTATAATTGTTGCTGCTATTGTTGTTGTTGCTACTAATGTCGTTGTTGCTATTTCTGTAGTTGCCATTGTTGTTGTTGTTACTATCGTTGCTATTGCTATTGTTGTTGTTGCTGCTATTATTTTTGTTGCTACTATTGCTGTTTCTGCTATTGTCGTTGTTGCTATTGCTGTAGTTGCCATTGTTATTGTTGTTACTATTGTTGTTGTTGCTGCTTTTATTTTTGTTGCTACTATTGCTGTTGCTGCTGTTGTCGTTGTTGCTATTGCTGTAGTTGCCATTGTTATTGTTGTTACTATTGTTGTTGTTGCTGCTATTGTTGTTGTTGCTGCTGCTATTGTTGTTGCTGCTGCTATTGTTGTTGTTGCTGCTATTGTTGTTGTTATTACTATTGTCGTTGTTGTTTTTGCTGTTTTTGCCATTGTTGCTGTTGCTGTTGCTGTAGTTGCTATTGTTGTTGTTGCTTTTTGTCGCTGTTGCTATTGCTGTTGCTTATATTATCGTTGTTGCTTTTAATGTAGTTGCTTTTTATGTTGTTTTTGTTGGTGTTGCTATTCTCGCTGTGTTATTGTTGTTGTTGCTATTGTCGTTGTTGTTATTGCTGTAGTTGCCATTGCTGCTGTTGCTGTTGTTGCTATTGTTGTTGTTGCTATTTGTCGCTGTTGCTATTGTTGTTGCTTATATTATCGTTGTTGCTTTTAATGGAGTTGCTTTTTATGTTGTTTTTGTTGGTGTTGCTATTCTCGCTGTGTTATTGTTGTTGTTATTGTCGCTGTTGATATTGTAGTCGTTGATATTGTCGCTGTCGTCGTTTTTATCATCCTTTCTGTCGTCCTCTTTCCCCGGTTTTAGAGATACATGTACCACCGATTCAAAAATCGGCCATTTGAATCCGATATTTGTCCAAATTAGCCAATGCCCTTCCAATGTGTGTGAGTTTTGCAGTTGTGCCACCGGCTACGTTATATTTGAACAGATATCCTACATCGTTATAAAACCACAAGGGATGGAATGTTGTTTTGGTGGTCATACAGTGTAAATCTATACACTTATCAGCAGACATAGTACTAAATGCCCTGGTAGACAGAAATAAATCGAAAGTTTGTCTACTTTGTATGTAGACCACACAATCCGAAAAGTACAAACTCGATCCGATTGCGTCCTTAACATTGCGTGGTCAACTTCTTTGAAGCAAAGCTGTTATGAGCCGGCCGTATTTGGATTGTTACAATAATGTCACTTCCGGTAGGTTAGAACTTCAAGTAAACATATCAGATAGACAAACCGAATTCTGGTATATTGTAATGCGTACATGGTCGATTATTTATATCTTAGTTTCGTTTATGAATACTCTGAATTACTTACATAAATCCTCGGTACCCCCAACAAGATATGTAATTACCGTTGTCACTATTATAAAATGTTTGGTTTAGTCCTTTCCAAACGAAGTATAAGATATAATTCAAATGTTACATAATTATCATTGTTTTAAAAGTTAATTGAAAATAGAAAATACACAAAAATGAAGAAAAACACTACAGGAGTAAATACTTTGAATCTAGACAATAATGTTGTTATCCATGAATATAAAATGCATAGCATTAAAATGAGAGATGAACAACTTTTACAATGAAGTTACTTTAAACCAGAAAACTCCCCTTTGTTGCTTCCTTTTCTATATATATACGAGAAATGTAATGAAAATCGAAAAATAAGTCTGAAGTAAAACTAATTGAAACTGTAAGTGATGTTATGTTTTGAAACACTTAAACATTGATTCAGTTCATCTTTTTATTGAGTACGCGTAGTTAGCATGTCACGTGTTGCCTGAAGGACTGCGATATAAATGTAGCCGTAACCATTTTTCTATAAGCGAGTACAATTCCTTACCAACGTCTGCGTTGCCAAACAGCCAATACACACGATGGTATCCAGGTTAAGCTTCGTTGACAATGAATATGTTCTCGATTGAATTTTCTTTAAAATGGTGACAGGATATATAAGCAGCAGTCTCCTACCAATTTCGTCTTTCAATTATCATCACGCCAGTAAGTGGTTCAGTGTCAACAATCGGCTTTTACCTTACGCGTAAGGATATTGGCTGACACGGCCATAGTGGGATTACATGAACTATTTGGCTCCTGTGTAACTCATGACCGTGCTATTTGTCTTTAATGCAAAGTGTCACGAATACCAGAGTAAGCACTGAAGGAACTTTTATATAACCAGGCTTAACAAAAAAAATCACTGAAACAAAGCTTGGAGGTCCGATAGAGATATTTACATTAAATTGATGAAATGTGTTACAAAAGTGTGAAACCTTTTTGCAGCGTTGTCACTCGGTCACGTTTTGCTGCAACTATATTTTATAGCTGAAAATGGCTGAGATCGCTTAAATCGTGACGTGTGCGTCAGTGTTTTTCTTGCAATTAAAGATATCAACTCTTTTAAATTTTATCTGCCTGACCTATTTTTTTGTTTTCGTGGTTACGAATAGTTGTTTTTACACGGATGGATATATTTCAAAGATGGCCGCCAGAACGTTTAATTTACTTCGAATTTCTCATCTGGTTTCTTCGATCTCATAACAAGCACAAGTTTATGAGTTGCCGACATTATTCAAATTTATATTTGTTGGCAATGAATCAAGTTATTTCGTAATACAATACTTTTTTTTTTACCCAAAACTGATTTTTCGGATACTATGGACAGTTTGTATTGATGGTGTAGCCGTTTTAAAGACAAATAAGAGATATGATAATTATGTTGCAATCGTTATTAACTTAAGCACTACGAGTTCCTAAACAAGGAAGCAAAACGTGCGCAAATTTGGTCACATTTAAAATCCAAGATGTCTGCATCTGAATAGGCAATATCTACTTCTTCTCTGTTTCATCTGGGATATTCTGATAACTTTGATTTTCAAAACATCCACACAAAGTTTTGTTGATATTCGAACCAATTCACAGTTAAAACCAGGTAAAATGTATTGGCCAAAAGGGAGCTTGTCGATTTCTTCGAAGATATGTTATATTCAGAGCCACCATTGAATAGCTCACTGAACACTTGATTGGGCTGTCTGATTTACTGATGGCAAAACGTTCACCAAGCTTTATCTTAATTTTAGTTGATGCCAGATCCAAAGTAGCCAACCCGTCTTTTGATTATTGGTTTAGCCGAGTCATTTCCGAAACAGATTCGCAGTGCCAGTAGATTAATTTAAAGCTAATGAATTACATGGTTCAATAAGGAATTGGAGATGGTCATCACAGGTTTGAATTAGCGGAAGCATATCAAACTATTCATATTTCATGTAATAAAATGAATAGCTAAGCAATAAGGCCATTAAAACCTTTTTGTTTACATAAGTATTGTGGTTGTTTGAACCAGTATTTGAGCGAGTTTGTATAAGAAATAGCAAATAATTTCATTCCTAATTTATTGTATCTTCCAGCAAGAATTTCCGGTTTGTAATATTGTATTCAATTTAGCTGTAAATGTAAGTTCATACAAATGACAAAGACCCTTGGCAATGTATAGATGTGATGGTAAAGGTAAAACAAGTGGCCGACATGTCGTTCTGTCATTCGAGACAGCACTGATCACGCACTCTTAACTCAATGGCATCGATTCAAACATCCCTGTGACCGAGACATCCGGCTGCCATAGTGATCCCGCTCCTGTCAAGTCTTGGCTCTGAATTACATTTATAAAATCAGAAAATGGTACAAAGGTATATAAATAACCAAAATGTTTAACTTAAACGCCTCAATAATGAAGATTATAAATCTGAACATAGTTTTGTTAAGATATTAAATTTCAAACACAGATCTGACCAAGACGATCGATAGGTAATACAACGAACCATTTTCACATTGTGATGACCGTGTTGCTAATTTGTTTGCAGTTCTGTGTCATCATAACACAATGTAGGTCACGCTATTTACGTGTAGTAGGTTGTATTATCACATTGTTTACACCAAAACAGGCGATAATGTGACAAAAGTGCGTGTATAGCCACACGAGGCACACCATGTGCAAATTAAGAGACTGGTTTGTCGACTTTTATTTTGGTAATTTAATTATCACTAGATAGATGGCAGGCTGCCTCAACCAATGTCGTTGTGTTATGAAAGGTGATTTACCATTATTGTACTTAAAATAAAAAGCAAAGCGAGCAGTTATTTTGCAATTTTGTTTGTTTTGATTTATCAACTCACCTACGTTTCATTGTATGTTCAATGATCTCTAGTTGTGTTTTACACCTATAACAGTAGGTACTGTCCTCTAGCTAGATGATCATAACAAACTGATAGACATATCAGCATTTAAATATTTTGTATAAGAGGCACATACTCTGAACAGACATTGTCTTAAAGGCTTAGGCCCTCAATAAACACAGTTTTGCAGAAATTATGAACAATTCATGAAAAAAATCAATTCATTTAGTTTGTATACATGATAAACTATATTTACCCGTGACTATTACATGATTCGATGTCTTCTGTTTGGTCTCTGTGTAACAAACATCAGATTTATAATGTTAAGACTTCAGACTGTTAACTATATTTACCCGTGACTAGCCAGAATATACTCATATTGTGAAATAGTTTTGATTATTAAATCATGAGTTTATTTAAGTTTTCATGGTCTTTGTTTCGAAATCTTGTAGTTAAATCGCTTCAGGTTCTTTTTAAAGGAATATTTTCGTTGCAATTTGCCTTCAAAGTTTTTCTTCGCTTTGGAATGTGGTCCATTCCAATTGGTAGAATACCCCTATTGTAAGATAGCTTTGATTGTAAAATACAGGAGTATATTTCAGTTTTTATGGTCCTGGTTTCGAAATCTTGTAAATACATATTTACACGAGGCATAACATGTGCTAACTGAGAGATCGGTATATCGATTCTAATTATATCACTAGATATATGGCAGACCGCCTTAACCAATGTCGTTGTGTTATGAAAGCTGAACTGCCTTTATTGTACTGAAAAATATGCAAAGCGAGCACAATTTGCTATTAGTTTTCCTTAAATCATACAGTAGTCGACTTTCCAAGAAATATTCAGTTTCAAAATGTTTTCCTGTTGCTGTCTATTGTATCCATTATGGTCTCTTGTCTTCATCAACTCTCGAACTGTAGGTCGTTACTATTGCCAGAACATCATG